ACCAAGTGGAAAGGTGCAAAAGACAGATTTGGCAGCTCTTTATAAAATGTTGCCAGGTGGGCCAGCTGACAACCTGATCAATGCTAACTCCTTGTGCCAAACCCCATACGTCAAAATGTTAAATTTCCAAACTCAAGAATTTTATTATTGGGTGAGACTAAAAAGTCCATCTGACCCTGCATTTTCTTTTTCCAACAATAACAGGGCGAAAAAAAAAAGACATCTCAGAAACTAAGCATGGGCAGCATTTAACATTTGTGAGATTCATCGTTTGTACTCGTGAGATCAATCTTGTTGATGGTGTTGGGGGGTGGGAGGGGACGGGACCGAGAGCTCATATGGGCATGACAAACAGAAAAAAAAAGAGAGAGAGCAGGACTCTGGCACAGCCATAGGATGCATCAGCATTTTGTTCACTTCTTCTAGATTTGGAAATTCCTTTTTTTTATTAAAACTTTCAGGCTTTATCACAGTTTTTATGGATCTCCTACCTCCATAGAATGGGAATCTAGGCCATCAGTTTTCAACTATTATAGATGGGTTGAGGGCAGGGTGGTGGATCAGCAGTTAAGACGCTGGACTTGTTGGCTGGAAAGCAGTGACAACCCAGGTTGAAGACCCGAGTTCAAAAGTGGTTCAAAAGCATGTAAATGCAAGTTTATGTGGGAAGATAACAGCCTCCCCACTTTTAAAATTATGGTATGGCTGACCTTTCATAACACTTACTCTAGTCTTGCAGAAGGAGTTCCTCCCTCAATTCTCGTCCCCAGGGGTTAGGAGAAGATGACCTCTTTGAGCTGATTTCAGACTTAGCCAGCTGGTTTGATCCGAGGTTTGGCAGTGCTCAACATCTCCAGCTCTCTAAACCAGGGGTGTCAAATTCAATTTCATTGAGGGCCACATCAGGGGTGTGTTTGATCTCGGGGGGCTGAGAGGGGCATGGCCGGGGTGGGTCAGCTCAATGTCACTTGAGTCAGCGCCTGTGGTGGCCCAAGCACTCTGCCAGAGAACATGGGTTCCTGACCTCCATTTTTGACTGCAATGGCTTCCTGCAACCCTCTGCCAGTGAAAATGGAGCATGGGAGGCTGTCACAGCCAAAAAGGGAGCCTTGATGAGTGTCGTCGTGCTGGCCACGCCCACCCTGGCCACACTCCCCTCCAGCCCCCCGAGGTCAAACACAACTCTGTTGCAGCCCTCATTGAAATCGAGTTTGACACCCCTGTTCTACTTGAAGGTGAAACAAATTTTCAGAAGCATCTTCAATATGGATTTCAAGGTTTGGTATAAGGCTAGCATGGAGGCCATCACAGCTGAAAACGGAACTCAGGAGCCCGTTTTTGCTGCAGAGGCACTACGGGCCAGTCCTTCACTGTTTCCAAGGTGGCCCTGTGGGCCAGATATAAGCACGGCCGGATCCTGCCCAGGGGCCTTGAGTTTGACACTCCTGCTCTAAACATTTCATCAGTGGTGAAGTTCAGCTTAGCTGAGTTAACCACCTAGTGAGCCAGTATGCCTTGATGAAGCACTTTAGAGAAGGCTGTTTGGGGCTGACTACGTCAAGATTTCACTTGTGCTGTTTTGTTACCCGTGGCACATAGTGTGCTCTCCCAGTTTAGCAAAACAGAACACACAAACAATTTTGATGCAACTGTTTATAAACAGACTGCAAAGCAAGGTTGCTTTTTTGTTTTGGTAGTAAATTGAATTCGAGCCTCCTTAGGGATTTCTCCAATCTTGTACCTTCCAGATATGTTAGAATTCAAGTCCCATGATTCTCAGCCAGCATGGTAATAATGGGGAATAATCAGTGGTGGGTTGCTAATGGTTTGCACCGGATTGGGAGAACCGGTAGCAGTGGCAGTGTCAGGAAGCTCTGCTCATATGCCCGGATGCTTCTGCGCATTCACAGAAGTATTGTGCGCGCATGAGTTTGTGCACTCCCACAAGCAAACCGGTAGCGATGGGTTTTGAAACTTGCCCCTTGGAATAATGGAACTTCTGATAGAGATAAAGTCAGGGAGGTTTATGTGAGATTTTGAAAAATGAGCCAAATTAAATATTGATTTGAACAGACCTATCAGTTTGGCTGTCTTGCAGCAATGCCTCCTATAATATGATGATGGGAGCAATCTGATGTGAGATTGTATTATAACTAACTTAAAAAATGAAAGACCATTAATCAAAGAAATAAAGAGATGGAGGAAGGGGGGATGATAAGGATGAAGATATTAATTACATTTTTTTCTCTCTAGTCAAGGGCATGGAGGAAAGGAACGTCTGCACATTTAATAGATTTATGCAGGAATTGGATCAGGAAAGGAGACACAGCTATTTTTTATTCTGTAGGAAATCTTACTGGTGGAAACAGGAGTCTTTCATCTTATAGTGAGATTTTATACATGTATATATAAAAAAGGCCAATAAACTGGCCTCCTCCAATTCGAAGAGACACTTGTTCGGCAGGCTGAGGGAAAGAGGCAGTCCCGGAACCAGCAAAATCCTGGGGCTGGGCAGGGGACAGAATGTATCTGCCCTCAGTGTAGAACGGATTGCCACTCTCAAATTGGCCTTTTTAGTCACACTAGATGCTGTTTTAGGACCTCTTTCCAGAGCACGATACCATAGTTTCTTGAGACTGAAGGATGCCAATACTATAAATAAATAATTTATTGAAAGACTCATGAATCTTGAATTACTTCTTATGAACTGTAGGACAAGACCAGGCTGATCCCAAGGGAGGGTCAAGCGCTCTAATTCCAGATCCAAGATCTGAGTCCAGCCCACCTTGAATTCTATGGACTCTTATCTAGAGCCTGGATTTCCCGATTTCCTTGGCGCTTAACATGAACTCTGAGAAGCACCAGAACCTTTGAAATGTTTACTGTTGAAAGTAAGGTTTTATTTGTATCAGATAGTGTTTTTTTGTATGCATTGTAAGCAGAATAGAATGGAGTGGGAAAACACAGATAAATTGAAGCGGTACGGTGTTTTGCGTGTAAATGGGGCCCAGAGTTTTCCTAATCTGTCAGTTTTGTTTTGGAAACAAGGATGGGTGTTTCAAACCTGCAAATCCAGCAAGCATTTTAGATGAACACCTCTTCAACTGCTGATGCTCCTATTCTTGTCTTTTCCTTCCTACGTTGGCCTTTATCCAGTGGTGGGATTCAAATAATTTAACGACCAGTTCGCCCAGGTTGGCTGTTGTGGGAGGCGTGGCCCATCCCCATCCGCCAGCTCCACCACACATGTGGGATGAGCCTCCCATGACAGCCAACCTGATCCTGGGTGAACTGGTTTTTAAATTAAATCCCCCCCCCATTATCAGAGTGGATCCTAAGTGCTGCGCTGTGCTGCAATGGAGAAACGGGATGGAGTGGCTGGCGTGAGGGAAGGAGGAGGAGCAGGGAGAAGAAAGAGGGAAAGTGGCCTTCTCCTTCCCTCATGTCGGCTGCTCCATTGCCCGTTTCTCCATTGCAGAGCAGTGCCCAAGATCCACTTTGATGGGGGGGGGGGATAATTTAAAACCGGTTCGTTTGAACCAATGCAAACTGGCTGAATACCACCACTGCTTTTATCTCTTTTTCTTTTTCCTATATTTTCACTCTGTATAAATTGTAGAATGCAGAGACCTTGTCTATTCTGTCATGTACAGATAGTTCTCGACTTATGATCACAATTAAATCCAAAATTTCAGTTGCTAGGCGAGAAAGTTGCTCCATTTAATGATCTTTCTTGCCACAAGTTGTTAAGTGAATCACTGCTGTTATTAAGTTAGTAACATGGTTGTTAAGTGCATCTGGCTTCCTCATTGACTTTGCTTGTCAGAAGGTCACAAAAGGGGATCACATCATCCCGATACACTGCAACCGTCATAAACGCGAGTCAATTGCCAAGCATCTGAATTCTGATCACGTGACCATGGGGATGCCGTGATGGTCGTAAATGTGAAAGACGGTCATAAGTCACTTTTTTCAGTGCCCTTGTAACTTTGAATGGTCACTAAATGAACTGTTGTAAATTGAGGACTACCTGTACTTCTGAATGGTTTGGTTTCTATTAATAGTTATACATCAGTCAGTAAGTCAGTCATGCAGTAGTATACTATCTGTGCCAAATGTCCATCATCACTGATAATGGATCTTCTTTGGGATGCCAAAACTTTATGCTCCAGAGCAGCTGCAAATATTCACTGATCTTCTGATCCCAAGTGGGAGATCCAGATCAAATCCAGCAGTCTCCACAGAAGTAAATGTCATTAAATTGAAAGCTGTAAGACACACAGGCACAGGAATAGTCCAGCTGCATCAGATGAAAAATCATCTTAGTCCAATATGTTGACTCCCATTGTGGCCAGATACCTCTGAGGTACTTTCAAGCAGCTGGATACATGCAGCAAGTGGTATTTGGAAGATACCAAGAGTTGGAAGTAACCCTTCCACTCAAGGATTACACAGATTCTTTAAAACAGCCCTTCTCCAATGAATTTATACAATCCCCTTTTAAACCCCCCACGTTTGTGGCCATCACTCTTATCCCATCATATTTTTTGACAGTGAATCCCTTGATTTAATTATTTGCTATATCTGTTCAAAATCTCTTTTCAATTACTTTCACTTGATGAGAATTAATTGTAAAATACTGAGAGGAGAAATGTTTCTTCCTGTCTATCATGCCTTGTCTCAGTTTATACATCTCAATCATATACTCCCCTTGTTAGACTTTTTTCCCATGTTCTAGTCTGTTCTTGTATAAAAAGGATTAGGACACTTTCAGATTGGATTCAGATTGTGTTGGCTGCCCTTTTCATGCTTCTTATGTCTATTAATTCCTGCCAATGCCCCCAACATTAGGCAAGCAAGCTGGAGTGGATGTTGAAGTCTGAACTGATAAAGCTTCAGTATCATCTCAGAATGTTCAGTGCATGCATGCAAAATATAATCTAAAGATCAATCGATCTTCACCAGTTTCTCAATGAATTCTTCTATTGTGCCTTGCGCAGGATGGAGAATAAAGCCATGTATCTGCACACTTTGGGTGAAAGAGAGAATGGATCCATCCTTGAAGAGCCATTTGATGGAAAGAACCTCTCAAAGCTGAACCTCTGTGATGATGGTAAGTCCCAGGAAGCAGTTCTGAGATTCAAAGGGCATCACATCAAGAATCAAAGGAGCATATTGATGTGTAGATCAGGAGTGCTAATTTATGCAAATTCTCATATGGACATTCTTGAATTGTACCACTTGAACCAATTCCTGATTAAAGATTAAGAATCCCCACTTTGTCAAGTTTCCAGCACTGTTCTCAGCTCAGAAAAATATTGTTTGCCATGCAATGTGTATTTGGGGAGATAAATTTCATTTTAAAATGCATTTGGGGGCAGATTGGAAACATAGGACAGAAAAGTGGCTTCATGAACTGAACATACATGTTGTGATATAATACAAAACCAGGCTGAGCAATGTTTGAACAAGTTCAGACACATCAGAGCTCTGTCCCCAAGTGTAACTCGGTAGAGGACTATTTTGAAGTAACAGTGAAAGTGGTAGATCAGGGGTGTCAAACTCAAATTCATTGAGGGCCACATCAGGGCTGTTGTTGACCTTGGGAGGCTGAGTGAGCATGGCCAATTGGGTGGGTGTGGCCATCTTGACATCACTCACTGGGTGTGGCCGATTGGGTGGGCATGGCCAACTTGACGCCACTCCCCAAACTGCTGGCATGTTTCCTCTTCGCACTGGGTAGACTGGGCCAAAGCCACACTGGCTCAATGTTTCCTCTTCGCATTGGGTAGATTGGGCCAAAGCGACACAGGACGGACCCTTACATTTTCCATGACGGCCCCGCGGGCCGGATCCAACCACATTAGAGGCTGGATCTGGCCAGTGGTAGGATTCAAGTAATTTAACAGCTGGTTCTCTGCCCTAATGATTTCTTCCAACAACCAGTTTGTCAAACTGTTCAGAAAGTTAACAACCAGTTCTCCCAAAGTAGTGCGAATTGGCTGAATCCCACCACTCCCCTGTGATAGATGAATGTACTATGGAATCCTATCATCTGAGCACTAAATCTAGACCAGTCTTCCCACATAACTGCTGAGGCAGATGGCACATAGTCCAGCATAAGTGGAGGATGCTAGGTCACTGTGAGTCAGATATTAGTTCCTGAAGTTCAATATTTTCTTCTTCCATACCAAGTCTGAATTTTGATTCACTAAAATTAATTATTTTGGCACTGGATCAAGGTATCTTTATTTGGCCAAGCATTTTCATAATGTATTGTTTCGGTTAGTTTGCAGGTTTCATTGCTTGCAGTCTCTTGTTTCTATATTTGTTTCTAGTTTGGTAGTACGGTATGTATGAATTTGAATACCAGGATATACTATTCCTAAATGTCAGTAAATAAACATTAAGAGATGCCAGGGACTGAATGTAAGGCACTTAGCATGCAAATCTAATGAATTTATTACTGGAGTACAACCCTTCCTTACACCATGGATATATATATTTGCCCTTGTACAATGAGGTTTAAATGGCCATTGTATGAATTTGCCTTTGACATAGCAAGCCGCTATGTAATAAGCCCTTTTTAAAAAAAACTTCTTGTTAATCAGCATAGATTTGCATCCTTGTATCAATGAGTGGGACCAATTTTCCCATCAGCACATTTGAGGTTTAGATCCATCACTGGAAGCTTTCAAGAAGAGACTGGACAGCCAGCTTGCTTTCAGATGTGGGTGGTCCATCACTGGAGGTTTTTAAGACGAGACTAGACAGTCACTTATCTGAAATGGTACAGGTTCTCCAGCCTGAACGGGAGGCTGGACTAGAAGACCTCCAAGGTTCTGTTCTATTCTATTCTATTCTATTCTATTCTATTCTATTCTATTCTATTTATTCTATTCTATTCTTCTATTCTATTCTATTCTATTCTATTCTATTCTATTCTATTCTATTCTACTCTACTCTACTCTACTCTACTCTACTCTACTCTACTCTACTCTACTCCATTCTATTCCATCTGAAATGGTATGGGGTCTCCCGCTTGAGTGGGAGTTGGACTGGATGACCTCCAAGGTCGCTTCCAATTCTGTTATTCTATGTTTTTTTCCTATGTTTTTATAGATGACACCTTATTCAGGACAACAAAAATTCCAAAAGAATTTCACTGAATTTATAAATGGGAAATAAAAGGAAAACATTAAGTGATGCACAATGGAAAAACAAGCATGCATTGCCAAGATAGTAATGCATTTTTGAAACAGTGGTGGAAAAAATATCTGGGGTAGTGGGACATTAGTGTCACAGAAACATTGACAATAAAAGATAGAGAAAATGAGTAAAAATACATGTTAGAAATTGTAATATAAAATGCCTGGTAGCCTTACACAGTAGATCATATCAAGACACTGTGCAAAAATAAAATCTCTTTGTCTAGATTCTAGAATGACTACAGATAGAGAAACCTTGAAGTTTTAATTCCTGTGAATTAGGAGCGTGCCCAATCTAAACTGGTCATTAAGTGATAAGACATTTTCAAAAATTTCCAACTTGGTATGGATTTAAGCCATGTTTATCTGTATGTTGCCTTGATAGTGGATCGTCCCTCCCTCTCTCTCTCCACAAAGGTTATTCTTTCTATTCTCTTAAACAATCTACAACTTTTTCAGATCTCTGAAAAACAGCTAAACCTTTTATGAAACCATTTTACTCCTGCTGGCAGATTGGGAATGTGCATTGAGTTTTGACCCTTCCATTTTAATCATCTCTAAGCCATCTCTTTTTCAAGAAACTGAGAACAAACTGAAGTCAAGCAAGGTGCAGCCAAATTTTCGGGCATTGGAGCTTTCATCCAGCCCTATAACCAACTTTAATATATTCAGGTCACTTGCTGGGTTTCCTTGGCAGTGATGCAGTGGCCAAGAGTGGTGCAGTGGCCTAGAGGTGGAATTCTCGCCTCACAATCAGGAGGCTATGAGTTCAATCCTAGGTAGAGGCAGATATTTCTCTCTCTGAGCACACTGAGAATATATCTGCTGAACAAAACTTCACATTGGCGACAGGAAGAGCATCCGACCATTAAAACACTCTGCTAGTTCCATTCAGTTGCCCAGACTCCACCCCACAAGGGATTACGGAGTTGTTAAAAGAAGATGATGACTTGCTGGGTTTTCTTGGCATTCTAAACCATAATGGATTTAGACAAATTACAATTTAGCCCCATGTGTGAATCTGGTTATTAAATTAGATGTCCAAAATAGGTCACTCAAAGATCATGGACTACTTCCTAAAATAAGTGAAACTAATTTCCAAGTGCAGGGAATTTTGAATTTCACTATTCCTCAAGAATTTGAGCAATAAATGAAGTAGGGAACAATTGGGACAGTCTTTTGACCTTCAAAGGGTGTCATTTCTCAGCAACGAAGTGTGCGGAAAATTGTGTGGGGTGTCCAAACTGCAGGTCTTGCATTTGGTAGCTCTGACCTAAACCATCTGGACTTCTTTAGCTTAAGACCAAGACAATTAAGCTACTTTTATGACTACAAGAGTGATGTACTGTCTGTTGGCACATTCTAGTGTGGACTCTGGAAAGTACCACTTTGACACGAGCAATTTACCACAGCCGAAATTCGCTACACATGTTAAGGTTTGTCTCGCTAATAACTTTGCACTTGTTAAAAACAATTTTTGTAATTGTGGTTTTTCTGAAAAATAAAAACCAGAAACTTGATCTTTTGATCTTCTCTTTTGATCTTGATTAGAGCTGTTCCAAACTTTTAATCAAGGACGTTTTGAGATAGAGAAGTGGTTTAAATTTTTTTGTGATGTGATAACACTGAAATTTACATGATTCACTTTTGTCCTACTCTTTCTAACAAATGCAACTTTCTTTGCTGCTGTTTAAATGCTTTTATTTTTAATGAGGATTTTTGCTGTGATCCTAGCCAATTAGGATTCCTACAGTCTGTACAGCAAATCCCTATGACCCATGGTATACCAGATTTGGCTATGTAGTAACTTTAATTATAAGGAAAGCCAGGGTTTTGGCAGGGTAAATTAGGAATGAGGAGAAAATAGGCTGCTGTAAGAACAAATAGCCTGCTTCAGTAATAGACAATCTTTTTTCTTATTCAGTGGTGGGTTGCTCCCGGTTCTATCCGGTTCTATAGAACCGGTAGTAAAACCGGTGGGAGGCTCCGCCCACCCGCCACAACATCATCATGGGTGATCTGTGCATGCGCAGAAGTGCGCACACGCTCCCATTGCAAACTGATAGTAAAGGTAAGTACAACCCACCCCTGTTCTTATTGTGTTTTTGTTGGAACATATTAAGTAATTAAAAATGATGGTTATTAGAGTGAAGTTCAAGGTCTTACATGATTCAGTGGCTGTTTCCAGAATCTGGAATTCCTTGTCCATTATGCTGATCTGATGATTTTTCAGCAAGAGGCAAAGCCATGAACCACATTGACTGATGTGCATTTCTGTGATGTCCCCGGGTCAAGGCCACACAGCCAACTGAGAGTTCAAACTCCCCTTTAATAGCACTAGCAGTAGCACTTAGACTTATATACCGCTTCATAGTGCTTTACAGCCCTCTGTAAGTGAGTTACAGAGTCAGCATATTGCCCCCAACAATCTGGGTCCTCATTTTACTCACCTCGGAAGGATGGAAGGCTGAGTCAAACTTGAGCCTGGTGAGATTCGATCTGCTGGCAGCTGGTGATCAGCAGAAGTAGCCTGCAGTACTGCACTCTAACCACTGCGCCACCGCAGCTCATTAATGCTCCAAATTTCCCCCAAACGCTCCCACGTTTTTGGCAAGTCCCAGAGCAAAGCGTGCACACAGACACACACAGCAGCCTCTGGCTGCGTGCAGTCCAGCAAAGCAAAGGAACAGGGAAATGAGCCCATGAAGCAAGGAAGAAACAATGAGTCCACGAAGCAAGAAAGAAAGAATGAGTTCACAAAGCAAGGAACAAACAATGAGTCCACAAAGCAAGGAAGAAGCAATGACAAATGCCCCTCCCCACAGTGTCTCCTTAAATCTCAGTCCCCAGGTGTGCCTTGTGAAGATGGGCAGGATGCTCTCCTCCTGAATCATTGAGTCGTCCT